GGAAGAGGAGGAGCATCCGTGGTCTTCGAGGAGATCGGCGACGAAGAGTCTCCGCATCCCTCGACCGTACAGGGCGTCGTACGCGCCGAATCGATACCACTACCCGGACCACCCGCGGGGGCCATTCCCCGAAAGGCCCCTCCGACCTCCGTAGGATTGCGGACGGAGAAGACCTTCGCCGACGCGACCTAGCGCCCCAGGTTCACAAGCCAGGCGTCCTCGTCTGACAAACGAACCAGGGAGGAGATAGTAAAGGGGTTGAGGGAGGTCGAGCAAGGCTGGACGACCCTCAACGCCCTCCAACGAGCCGTGTACGAAGAGTATGATACGTACACGGCTGCGGGACACCGCCCCGATGATATGGACTATTGGAGCAAGGTGGTGTCCCGCCGGCGCCAGTTCGCGCAGGCACTAAAGGAGGTCCAGCGCCGTCACCGCCAGGCTTTCGAGTTGCCGGCGAGTGACGCACCCATGGGCCTCTCCCAGCCTCCAATCGTCGGGGCCAGACCTACGACTCCAGAGGACAGGTCGGAGGCCGCGACACACCAGGGTCCACGGACGTGCGGGGTAAACCTGGTGGTTAATGTAGACGGCAGCGATGGAGGTCAAGCAACGGGGCCCATCCACATTAATCTTGTGGTAGGGTCCACGGGTGAGGACCCCACGGTAGAAAGGCTGTTGTGGTCCGCCCCGAACTGGCGGAACGGGTTGCCACTGACCCCCAGAGAACGAGGCCTCCCGCGTGGCACCCTCTCCCGCGCTCAGTGGGAAGGGTGCAACGTCTGCCATTACCCCGGGGTGACTCGCGCAGACCGCTGCCCACGTGTGCGGCAACACGTCGACCTGGTCCAAGAGAGGCTGGAATGGGAGGCACACGGCCGTCCTCCGTTAGACGATGAAGGTCGGAAGAAACCAGCAAGACCAGCCAGGCGATCGTTCCCTGCCCCCGGGGGCAGGGCCGCACGCACCCAATTTCACCAAATAAAAACTGTTCAAAATACCACATGGACTACGGTTCTTTATTGTCCTTTCTCCTCTCTACCTCGGAAGGGAAAGCGCTAATATGATTATCGTCGAGGACCCCCTAGGTCCAGACTGGAAGGGGGCTGTGACGGTAAACGTCAAATTAGCGCTAATTGCCTAACCTAGTGGCTGCCTGCGGGGGCAGCACTTACCGGTAGACGAAAAATGTAACGACGGAATTCGGCACGCGAGCAGACGGAACGCGCGCGATTGAAAACGAACGAGTGGAGATCCAGCTACCGGTACGGAAGCCACGAAAGTTAAGGTTCGCGACCTAATTGCCCGTACGTGCCCCAGAGTCCTGAGTAATTGTCATCGAGCTACATGGCGTGCAGACCCGAGCCAGCTGAAAAAGCAGCATTGTTACCTGCGGCATCAAGAGTGTGTGTGTGAGGTTTCGCCATCGAAGGCGAAACCACGTACGCGCGAATTCGCGATCCGCGACAAAAAGAACAATCAGACTTTCCCGCAGTGCGAATTGATCCCTTCGTCTTCGTGCGTCTGCAAAATAAAGGTAAGCTGGCCAGCTTGATCTCACGACCGCTATTGCATGCGTGATAACCGATTTTCCGCATTCGATGCGAAGCGTGCATGTAATAGCTCTACGGACAAAAAGCAGCGAGCGTCCCGACACTGCATGTTGTTGTCGAGCGAGCGCCGATGTAAACATACACACGCGGGCTAATTCTAGTGTAGCGTTTCAAGAGATAATAAAGAGTTTTCGTACACGATATTAATAAGTACTTTCAGAGCGTTCTCTTCACTCCCGTAGATAGTTGGTTGACTGACACCCCTTTCCTCTTGCTCTCCGACTTTCTTATTTGACATAGGTGATTGCGAGTACGTTTACGCGATCATCGTAATAAAAATAATTAAACGGTAAGCAACCCCGTTACAATACCTTTTATCAAACTAGTTTAGTCACAGCTTTATAGTTTTTAATATACGAGGGTGGTTCAATAAGTCCGTGACTTCTCGAAAGATGGTGGTATTATCGTAACGTATTTTTAATTGTAAGAGAGTTTTATCTAGTATAAGTGCATATACAAAGTTTTAAGTTAGTACGTTGGTTTGGAAATTTGTTAGTCATTTTAAATTAGTCTTTCATTGTGTTTACAAAGTCATGGAAAGAAATGTTCGTGTGCTTATTAAACATTATTTCCTACGGGGAAAATCAATCAAAGAAACGAAGAAAAAGTTCAGGAAATATTATAAAGACTCTACCCCATAGCATAGCATGGTTTAAAAATGGTTTATTGAATTTCGTTGTGGCCGTAAGAGCACAAGGTATGCTGAGCATCTTGACCGTTCAAAAGAGGTGACTACTCAAGACATGATTGATGAAGTTCATGACACTGTTATCGATTGAAAGAGCATGAGACTAGTGAGACTCTTAACATTTCATGTATAAGAAAGTTGCCTGCAAGATGGGTACCGTGCTTGCTCACAGCTGATAACAAGGGAACTCATACGTTTGCGTCTGAGCAATGTTTGAGCATGTTTCAACGTAATCCAAAGGAATTTTTGTGACGCTACGTTGTTGTTTATGAAACATGGATTCGTTATTATACGCCAGAAATGAAAAATAGGTTAAAAGTGTAGACTAGGCCAAGTTTATCTGTGCTACAAAAAGCTAGAAAAAACTTTGGCAGAGGATAAAAACCTGAACGATAGGCTTGAAGGAAAACATTATTTGCAAAATTAACGTTAAATGATTTTATTGATTTTACTGAGTTTACGAAGCATGATGTGCTAATTTTTTTCCCGGAAACATATGGCATGAAACAAACAGTTTTGTATCTTGCTCAAAATTATGAAAAACGACAAATTAAATGTACAATATTTGAAAATAAAAAATGATATAATGAAACTTGAGGTTAATTATTCTAGATACTTTAGTCTCATCATATTTCAAGCAAAATTTATAAATGCTACATACGGTGAACTAAATGGTATTGGATATAGTAGTATATTGCGATGTTGTTATGATTGTGCTCTTGGATTGTTAGAATAGACTAATCGATGTTGCTTCCATACTGCAGCAACCACCTCTCACATGCGTGATACCTTTTCAAGATTGTCAGAGACCTGCAGAAATAATTACTAGTATTTTCGCCGAAAACAAAGTGATGATAGTCATAAAATAAGATAGTGATGACGACTAATTCGTAGATAAATAATTTTATCTTTTTTTGTTACATTTTGTATTTGAAATAATATTGGACATATATTTTTAATATCTGTAAATATGTTAATATATTAGTACAAGTTGTCATGTGATCAGTTGATTTTCCATTAAAAATTAAAAAAAATTATGTGAAGAAAATCGAATTTTTTTCTTTAGCTGGACATGAGCTTCCGTCGAAACATTAATGGAGTTATAATTAAATATTTATATTTTAATAAAAAAACAAATATTTCAAACACCATATGCTTTCAATTTGGTTCAATATTGGAACAATATGAGTTACCGGTGATATTTTTTTACGTAGTATAAGTGATGCTATGCTAATTTGTATATTAAATCATTAAACCAATGACTGGATTATTCGGAGGGCGCCACCGATATCCGAATTAGCATATCGGCCAATAAAATGATTTCTTCTCAGAAATAGGAGAAGAAAAGGATCTTTGATCGTGAAGAGCCGTTGCTCGTCCATTTTACTGCTGATCGTGAGCTCTGCTGTACGCAGATCCTGCTACGAGCCGAGAAATCGAATGATTTTAGAGCAGTCGAGCGAATCGTCAGACTTAAGTAGGTAAAGTGCCGCTTGTATAACTTAACATTAGGTGTTGCCACATATAATTTGTAGTGTTTTTGAATCCGCCGTGACGCGTGGATGCATCGCCGTTGAGAACAAAGTACTTCTGACCAAATCGCGCTGACCAATCGCCATTTTTGTTAACTAACTCGAGCGTAAGAGAAGTGTAGAATTCCGATAGTTAGGTGAAGAGCTGCTCGCCGTCGAGAATTGAGGATCGTGTACATAATTCGTCGCGTGTTTAATTCGCCGGACGTGTGGATCTGTTGCCGCCGCGCATTAAATATCACAACGAGCTGCGCTGACCATTGACCATTCTGAGTTGCTTCCTGAGCTGCCAGCATTCCCAGGACGTGAGAGGAAAGGGAACAGAAATCATGCAGTGGCACTGCGCACTGCACTGCGCAGTCGGACAGCGGGCAACCAGTCCTTCGCGCGCCGACTTCTGACTCTATCTTCGACGATCGCCGTGTCCAAGGAACGGCGGTCTGTCGCCCTTATCACTAGTCAAGTAAACGGGTCCTCAAGCATTGTGCCGGAGGTGTTTTGCGAGCACGACTTACACCTCCTGAAATCCCCCGCCACAAGTAAAAAGATATAATTTATTATTTAAAATCATTAAATTATTCCTTTATTTCCGTAACATTGAGGGGTTATTTCATCCGTTAAAAACGTTTATCTGCAGATAAAAATAAATACGTGTGTCTTATTTTTCAATGTTCTATAACATAAAAAAAACTAAAATCTTAGAGGGAAATCGAAGATATTTTTCTTATTAGTCACAGCCCTGACTAGTAGTTATATAATGTTGAATTTAGACTTAGTAGTTAGGAATGGAATTCGTTATAAACGATCTTTTACTCCAACATAATATTTATAATTTTTTTGATTTTTAACTAATATACATTCGAAATAATTTATTTGCATGTCAAAAACTAATTTCAGAAAGTCAAAACTGTTTCTGTAGCATCAGTACTATATTATTCATTATTAAGTGTGACAAATCTACTTATCAATAAATAAATTAACTTGCGCGAGCAAGTTACTGATAATTTCTTACTGCTTTTCGCTACATTTCATTATAAATATATAAACAAGAAAATGTACGTTTTATGCGGCATCTCCTCACTTTAATATGTATCTGTATGTTTCTACTAATAGAAAAAATATGATAATATACATGAATTAAAACTAATCTGTTTAAAATAATTCCAGATAACCATCACTGGTATAGATAAAAGGAAAATGCCACTAGTATTTAAAATTAATATCTTTGATATGGATAACAAAACACTAGTAGATTTTCGACTTTCAAAAGGATGCGGAATCGAGTTCAAAAAAGAATTCATAAAGGTTAAAGTTTTAGTTGATGATGTAATTTTAAAAATAAAAAATAAATAATGTAATTATTATGAAAAAAAATTATGATATATAAAAATCCAGTATGAAATATATTCATAATTTATTCACTCAATTTCTAGAATATGGATAATATCTGCCTTGATTTATTTTTGTACATACAAAATATGCTATATTTCTAATTGTGTCCATATTTGTTGCATTACTAAGGTAAATTATTATTAGTTCTGCAGTCTTTTGATACGTTCACTCATTGCACCAATGTCATTTGCAACTATTTCTAAATTTTTAGAAAAATTACTTTGCATTCCTTCTAATAATATTTTCTGATGTTCTAAGGATGTACTGATGTGCTCCTGCAATTTTTCCAATTCCTTAAGTTGATTTATAAAATCAACAGCTGTAAATGAAATATTAATTATGAAATGTTTATTTCATAGTCGATTTATTTTAAAGTATATTCTACCGATACACGTCGATGCTAATATAAAATTGTTCAGCACATAAAAATAAGTCAAAGATTTGTGTCATAAGTCAAAGAAAATATGCAGGGCCTTAAATATAACAATTCACGCGATTAAAATAAATTTTACCAGTAATGATCATTTAAAGGACGCCAGACACTGATGTTTAGGAATCGCATGGGAAAAGGTATTGTCTCTCTCCTATGCACAATTTTCACTAGTCAAATATCAACAATGATAAAACATCATATCAAAATTACTATATAAACAACTGGTTAAATGATAAGATAGATTTAGGGTGGCGAAATTCTGTTTTTGATAACGTAGATCACAGAATAAAATATAAAATTTTAAAAATACAAGATTCAGGAGTCAAAGAAACATCAACAAAACCTTATTTATTTAAAGACTACAACCAAATAAAAATAATAGAACATGGGATGTGGGAAAATAAGTAAGTACGTGTATGTATGTAAGAAGCATAAGCGAACATTATTTTGATCGCCTGTGATAAAAGAATAACAGAGTAATTTCTTTTCAAGGTTGTTCAGAAATATTCAACTTGTCGTTTAATTTGTATGAAATAAAATAAACATGAGCATAAAGGTGCTATTCGCAGATTTTAAGATAATATTGCGTATTGATCTAGGGATCAATACAAATCGGAAAGATTACAGAGCAGTAGCGGCCAATAACTTAAAAAGTGGTAAACAAACTACCCCTGATAATGCGTTAATACACCGACATACGAAATAAAATGTATGATTGGTTCTAGAGACCAGACATACCATTTTCCATGTATTTTGACACGCTGAAACCGAATCCGAGGTGTAAATTAAGTGTCAGAACATGGTTTGTTAAATAGCGAAAACCCGTAAAAAACCGGTGAAAATCGTGTAAAAACCTACCATAAAAAGGAAGTTTGACCCTTTCAGGGGCACTTTTTTCTGCTGCACTTATCCTGAACCCAAAAATGTATATAAAGGTTTTCGGGGTCGCTGATTACGAATCTGAAGACCGATTTTCAAAATTCAAAATGATGGATCCAGAATGGCGGAAATAATTTTCAAATCCTTTCAATCCCAATTTTTATCACCGACCGCTTTTTGAACGTACTAAACGAAACGGAAAAAAACAGAAAAATTTAATTTTAATGACCAGAAGGCTTCTTCTTAGATAAATAACACGACTAAATTGATTTAAGAAATTATTCAATTTCAGTTTTCTACAACAACTTGAACAAAGTGGGTCTTACAGTTCTGTACGAAAGGATTAATGACTTTCTATCAATCCATAACATTTTAATTTTACATAATGTAATTGAAAGCCTCAACAACTAGTTTATAAGAGTCATAATCAAAATGCATCTTCAATAATATGATTTTAAAAGCACGGTAGAATAATTTTTACGAAAGAATGAAGGTATTCCATTGTTAAAAGATCCATTAAAATAAAGAATACTAAAAGAACGCCTCTAATAAGAGTATTTGTAGTAAAAACCAATCGATATCTCTAATAAGGACATAACTATCATTTTTACTAAAGGGAATCATCGAGTACCAAAATAAAGGGCCACCGAAATAATGACCCTTTAATAAGAGTACCCTTATTAAATGGTCTTTCGAAATAACGGCTAGAAATCGAAAAAACTTATACTGCATAGTGGTCGCAACAGCGGCAATAAAATTATCTTATAGTATGGACAGATACGAGGATCGTTTGAAAAGTCCGTGCAAAAATAAAAACTGCTTGATTTTTTTTAATAAATCTTTTTTATTTTTCAACATAGTCTCCTTTTAGGCTTATATACTGCATTCATCGCTGCTCTAGTTTGTTAATCCCTTCCAAATAATAGGATTTGTCCAAGTCTGTAAAATAGGCATTCGTTTCTGCAATCACCTCTTCGTTTGAATAAAATCTTTTTCCCGCCAGCCATTTTTTCATATTAGAGAATAAATAGTAGTCCGACGGAGCCAAGTTTGGAGAGTAGGGGGGATGTGAAACGAGTTGGAACCCTATCTCCATCAGTTTTGCGGCCACAACTGCTGAGGCATGAGCTGGCGCATTGTCGTAGTGGAAGAGGACTTTTTTGTGGGCCAATCGTGGACGTTTCTCTAGCAACTCGGTTTTCAAACGATCCAATAACGATGAATAATATTCGCCTGTAATGGTTTTACCCTTTTCCAGATAGTCGATGAAGATTATTCCTTGCGAATCCCAAAAGACAGTTGCCATAACCTTCCCGGCTGAAGGAATTATCTTCGCCTTTTTCGGAACAGATTCCCCCTTGGCAACCCATTGTTTAGACTGTTCTTTGGTCTCAGGAGTGTAGTGATTTATCCATGTTTCATCTACAGTGATGAAACGACGTATAAAGTCTTGTGGATTTTGCTGGAACAGCTGCAAACCATTCTTGCAACACTTCACACGATCTCGTTTTTGATCAATCGTGAGCAATCGCGGAACCCATCTAGCGAATAGCTTTTTTATGTCCAAATGTTAATGCAAAATATAATGTACCCGTTCGCTCGAGATGCCTAAAGTACTAGCAATCTCACACACCTTCACTCTTCTGTGAGCCATCATCATATCATGGATTTTATCAATGATTTCTGAAGTGGTAACCTCAACAGGGCGTCCAGAATGTTCAGCGTCTTTTGTGCTCATATGGCCACTCCGAAAATTTTGAAACCACTTATAAACCATTCTAATCGAAGGTGCACAATCAGCATAATGTTTATCAAGCTTCTGTTTAATCTCCTGAGGCGTTTTGCCTTTGAAAAAGTAATGTTTAATCAATACACGAAATTCTTTTTCGTCCATTTTTTTACAACCACTCGATTTCTTTGATTGAAACAAATGTAAAACACAAAGTAATTGGCCGATCTGGCTGAAACTTCGTGTGTACTCTTCCAAGATATGCCACTAACTGAAAGTAAGCTTGATACGCACTAGTAGCGCCATCTCTCTGATTTTGCACGGATTTTTCAAACGACCCTCGTATATATGATATTCAGAACCATGAAATCTTCGAAATAATAGACGTAAAATATATTTTAGATAATACTTTTTACTATTTTTATTCAATTTATTCTAGCACGGAAAAACACATTATTGATGAAACACTTTTTTACAAATCTACAATATTAATAAATACAATGAAAACTACACATAATACGAGGTCTGTCCGAAAAGTATCCGACATAAGTTCAAAACTTCGCGCGGAGAGACGACTTTTACTGAGTATGAACGTCAGTAATCCAAGATACTGATGAAACGCCTTAGTTTCCGCGCAACGTGTATTTGTTTACGATACAACGACTTTTTTTGCGTTGCAATTCGTTTATTGCTAAAAATGGCAAAACAAACCGAACAACGAATTTGCATAAAATTTTGTTTTCATCTCAGTAAAAGTTGTGCGGAGTAGCAAGGGTTATGAGGGTTCTTAGCCAGTTACCATGCGAGATTTCATTCCTTCATTACCAACAGACGATAACGTTATCAATCCCATGTTACCGACCTATGGGCTGTTTTATCGGCAGATTTTTAATCGACGATCGACCTGTTTGACCGTCATTGTAGCCAACTGTTGTGTATACCGATATGCAGGCCCCACCTGCAGTTACCGATTCTTGTATCGATGTGGATGTCCCCGTCCCCATGCTCCCGATCGATGAATCAGATTGAAAAAATATACGATTAATGCTATCGACGGCGTACTGGCATGTCTAGTCGATATATCTCGTAGAAAGTTCCGGAGTTACTAGCGTACTCGTGCGCAGGTCCCGTGCGCATGCCTCGTGGGATAAGGTTTATTGGAAAATCAACAAAATCACCAAATTTTGAATACGTTTAAAATTTTAAACACATTTATTTTATAAAAAAGTATACATGGCTATTATATTATAATACTTATACAAGTTTCATAACGTGACTGCTTATTGGATTATACTTAACTATAAGATCGTGTAAAATTAAGTAATATGCAGCTGTTTCCGCAGGTATATCATTATTTGTTTCAAACTGTAGACGTACAGGAACTTGTTTCAATGATTCATTTTGCTTAAAACATTCCATTACTATTAGTAGTGCATGCGTAAGAAATTGTTTTAGATCCAAAAGTGGATTTAACATACAATTTCCGTTGTAATAGTTCATTTGAAAATTAGCATACATGTCATATAATATGAGATATTGATTATTGCTTATATCAAGATTTAAATTTATAAACGGATATTGCTGAAAACTGGGAAAAAGTTAAACATTGGTTACACTGTAATTATCAAATCTGCTGGGATTTTTAGTTTGATCAGACTTGCGTTTTGTTTAAAAATCTATATAATATGTCTTGGTTTTTCTAATTGATTGGATATTTTTACTATTCAAAGATGTTTTGATGTTTGTGGTAATGCTGAATACTCATAAAATTTCCACGATCGAAAACTCATAGAAATAGGAACATCTTTTTGAATGAAACTGTATAACTATATTTTACACTTATCTGACGTAATTACATAAGGCATCGACCATTCGATTCATATAAGTTCTATTTTAAAAGGTTCAAACTGTTCATTCTCATCAATTCTCACCAAGTTTTGTATGACTTGCGTTTAAATTATCTCTTAATCGGGTGAGAATAAGTTCATGCTTTACATTTACAACAATTTTTGTGATAGTCTTCAGCGAATCCTAAAATCATGGAAAGTGGTATCAATATATCAAAGTAACCATTGTTGTCAATCATTGTCTTAGTTTCTTCAATATCAAGCCATCTAGCATTTTTGAAGAATGCACTGTGACAGTAAACGTCTTGTTTGCGCTACCGTCTTAATCACGCGGCTACCTGTGAGGGCAGCACCTACCGGTTGGGGAAAACAGAGAAAGGGAACTCGGTACGAGACCGGACAGAACGCGCGCGAATTTGAAAGAACCAGTC